TTCTCAAGACTCCAGGTATCTTTCAACACCATATGGGCGTTTCCATGAGTGTCTTAGATGTATTATTACACAGGCTGTGGAAGGAGGGCACTCCAGGCCACACGAGGTCCTGAGAGGCTGTGCATAGGAACAGAATGAACAACACAGGCTGTGGAGAAAGGTAGGGTCAGGGGGGTAGGAATGAATATGAGAATTCATTTGTTTTCCTGGGATAGAGGATGTTGCAGGGGTTTAGTCTACTTCTCAGTTAAGCAGGGGCTTCCCCTGGTCTGTTTGGTAGAGAAGCATGTTGAAATATTGTTCAGGCAGGGAGCTTGCCTTTGGGTCATTAGAGGCCTCCCTGTTTTACCAGAAGGCAGGACAGCACACATATTGACGACTGAATTTAAGCCTTGATGGTGGCAGTATAAATGTGATAAATGTGATAGCTTGTTCATACCAACAACATGAAAAAAATCCACAGTCCCTTTATAACTTTTCTCACTTGTAGGAATAATGATAAAATACCTGGGTATGGTAGCATATTTTTTTAATCCCATCACTCTGGAGACTGAGGCAGGATGGAGAATTCCAGACCAGTCTGGCCTGCCTAATGTGATCTTGTCTTAAAGCAAAAACAAAAACCCCAGAAGGAGAGAGACAGGAAAGAAAGGGAAAGAAAGGCAAAGAGGGGAAAGACAAGGAAGAAAAGAAAAAACAGAAGGTGTCCTGGAATTTGGAAAATAAAAGACAGGGTATGTAAAGTCTTGGTTCCCATTTTGTCTTTTTTGTTTGTTTCTTTAATTTTGTTTTGTTTTGTAAATAGAGCACACCTTTTAATTATATCACACTTAATGATAGTTTCATATTTTTGTTATAAGACTATTTTTCTATATTTTCATGCAGAATTAATAAGCACTGCTAGTAATTGACTATAACATTCTTTTAAGTGATTATAATAGTTAACAGTTTACTGGTTTAAGGTTTATGAACACATTGTGGTAGTACACATTTATAATCCCAGTGCTTAGGCTGAGGCAGGAGAATCAAAAATTCAAGGCTAGCCTGGGCTGTACAAGGAGCCCTCTCAAAACGAAACGCCCCCTTCAAAAAAAAAAAAAACTGCCAAAGCTTATGAATACTTTAATTTTTCATGACATCCTAGAAACTTTTTTAAGTGTTTTAGTCTGGTTAAAGTAATTGTGCACATTTCTCTCTCTTTGCCCATCCCCCCAACTCCTTCAGGTTCGAGGTTATGATTTTAAAGCTGATATCTGGAGTTTTGGAATCACAGCGATTGAACTGGCCACAGGCGCAGCTCCTTATCATAAATATCCACCAATGAAGGTGAGGCTCATATTCCAGCTTAAGTCCCAGTTACTTTTCACAGCTTTTTTTTTTTTTTTTAAAATGTGCTTTGGTGGTTTGCCTGCATGTATGTCTTGTGTGAAGGCGTTGTTTCCCCTAGAACCGAAGTTACAGACAGTTGTGAGCCACCATGTAGGTTCTGGAAGTTGAACCCAGGCCCTCTAGAAGAGCAGCCAGTGCTCCTAACTGCCAGCCCATCTCTCCAGCCCCTTTTCCAAGCCTTTGACATTTGCCAGTCATACCCGTAGTTATTTATTTTCCTAGATTTTGTATGTGTGTTGTAGCAAAATATAATCTTTCCAATAAAATGACCAACTTAGCCATTTTTACTTGGTATTATATATGGATCAAACCCGGATAAACCATTCTTGGATGTATAGTCAAGTTACAGACATTCATGACATGTTTTCTTCACCATCTACAAACTTTTTTTCCTTGGGTTCAGAGCCTTTGAACTCTTTATGTAGTTCCTCATAGAATTCCGAGTGAACTGGTGGATTACAGCCATCTTGCTGTGCTGTGAACACAGAACTGCTGCCCCGGTCTCACTGTGGTTCGGTCTGTTACCCAACTGTGGTTTCTCTGCTCATCTGCCTCTTGTAGCCTCTGGTGACAGAATAGCTAAGACGGCCCAGGTTTCAGGGAGGCAGGAACAATGGGAACTAAATGTCTGAATGGGTGATTTCTGTATAGAAGTTTCTGGAAGAAAAGGGTCCACACTATATAAAGTCAAGGGAGGACAGGTCATGTACTGGGCAAGCTAATGGCCACACATATATTTCTTGTGCTGTGGCTTTGATGTTTTGTTTTTATAGTAGGTTGGAAGTAGAAGAATTAGAGCTGGGGATGTGAATAAAGGATTTTAACTAAAGGATATAATAGCAATGTTGACAGTGGGCACTTGTGGGAAGGTTGACTAATAATCCATCCATCTATAGCTCTTAACTAATGTCCAGTACACATGAAAACCTTGGGTTCTAAATAATCACTCTATTTCTTGTGGTGCTTGGTGTTGGGCTCAGGGTCTCACACATGCGAGACAAGTACGTGTATCCCCTGAGCTATCCCCAACCCTTAAAGTCCCTCCTAGACGTTAACGTGTATGTGTGCGTGTATATCTGCGTGTGAGCTTTTGGAGACCACAGGGTATTGTCAGTCACCCTTCACCTTATATTTTGAGACAGGGTTTCTCCCTGAAACTAGACCTTGACAGTATGGCTGGACTGGCTGGCCAGTAAACTGCAAGGAGCTCCTCCCGCTCCCCAGCTGGGATGACAGGCGTGGACCACCACACCCATGTTCTTATGTGAATGCGGAAGGTTAAATTCGGTTCCTTCTTCCTGCTTGTGGTACAGCAAGCCCTCTGCCGGCTGAGCCATCTCTCCAGCCCCGAGATGTCAACTTCTGGAATGTTGGGAAGCTTTAATCCATATTAAAAACCCCTTAGAAGTTTATACTGTATTGAAAATTCTTACAGGTTTTAATGCTGACACTCCAGAACGATCCTCCTTCTTTGGAAACCGGTGTTCAAGATAAAGAAATGCTGAAAAAATATGGAAAATCATTTAGAAAAATGATTTCACTGTGCCTTCAAAAGGATCCAGAAAAAAGGTAAACTATTAGATAAATCTGACGTGTCTCTTTTTGATACATAAACGAGGTGGGAAACCCTAAATTTTACATGTGTATGTATATGTGGGATTATGTGTGTATTCTTAAAATGAATGAAATACAAACTTTGGAAACATAAAGGTTATTTTACAAGATTGGAAGGGACTGAGTTGATTTCTGTGTTCTTTTAAGTATATCGTATATCTTGATGGTTCAGATCTTGACTAATTTCTTAAAACTATGAAATTATGAGCCGGGTGGTGGTGGTGCACATGTTTAATCCCAGCACTTGGGAGGCAGAAACAAGTGGATCTCTATGAGTTCTAGGCCAGCCTTGCTACAGAGTGAGTTCTAGGACAGCCAAGGATACACAGAGAAACCAAAAAGCAAATTAACTATGAAATTATATATTGTGAATTCTGTATTAGTAAAATGCCATGTTAATGGGAAAGTTTTTCTTTTTCCTTTTTTTTTTTTTTTGAGACAGGGTTTCTCTGCGTAGCTTTGGAGCCTTTCCTGGAACTCGCTCTGTAAACCAAACTGGCCTCAAACTCACAGAGATCTGCCTGCCTTTGCCTCCCAAGTGCTGGGATTAAAGTTACGTGCCACCAGGGCCAGGAAGTTTTTCTTTTTCCAACTTGCACTTAAAATATAATTGCCATTTACAATTTAATAACAAAAGAACTTTAACATAACATATTTATATTTCATGCCAAATAATTGTACTTTCCATGTTGGAAAGATTTTAGTAATCACAATTTAAAATAGTTTCCTTGTCTGCTTTAGGCACAGTCAGTGGTAAGTAGCAGGCTCTTAACTAAGGGTATTTAGTGTGGTGTTGCTTTTGAACTGCATTTGTAGGTGAGATCGCTGAGTGGAGCCTTCTGTTTTAAGGTCACTCAGATCTCTAGTCTCAAAGGTAGAACTTGAATTTAAAGCTCATCATTTGTAACTTGGGGCTGCATCCCCACTGCATCTTAGTTTTTTTGTGTGTGTATACATCAGCTTCCCATATCCATCCCCCCACACATCTGCAGCTTCATCTACCTGTGGATCCAAGTGCTCTGGTCCAGTTATATCAGCACTCAGCATCACCTGCCTCTTCTTTGTCCTCATTCCCTGAGCAACGCAGTGTAACAGCTGTTGGCATAGAATTGGCAGGATGGCGCTGCTCTAGTTAAGCTGGAGGTGGTGTAAAGTGTGGGAGGATTCTGTAGGTTCTACACAGATACTGGTCCGTGTAAATACAAGGGATTGGGCATCAGAGTTTTGGTATTGGCAAAAGGATACAATTTTCTGGAAACAATTCTCCTGGGATACCACAGGACGACTGTATATTCCACAAAGTTTCTTAGTACTAAAAGTTGTTTAATTTTGTTTTCTCTAAAGGTCGACAAAAATAAAAGACTTTGACATCCTTGATCATGTGTCTAGTATATGTAATGGGGCTTCAGAATTTACTGTTGGAAATATTAGAAAGGGTAAGAAAATCAGCAGAAAAGTTCATGTGTATGTTTTTAGAATTTTTTTCTGTTTCTCAGCAGTGGCTAAAATTGATAGGAATACCTTTGTTTCTGCCAAGCTAGCCGACAAAAAGAACAAATTCCTTTGCTACAAATACCTAGAAGTAACAGCTAAAAATCCATCAAACTTAAAAGATTCTTAGGTGCCAGAAATAGTGAAGACTCCATAAATTACAGAAGAGTCCTGAGCTAATCCAGTGGCTCCTTGCAGTGGACACCCCTCACTCCAGTATCCTACTAGGTTGCCTTTCTGAACCCGGTGCTGTGACTTTGGGAATTAGGACCTGGGGTCCACCTGGAGGAGATTTTCAGCAGAGTTCCTGTATAGAGATAGGATCATCAGAAAACATTTTCCTCCTCTCTTTTTATAAACTGTTTGTTTGTAGTTTATACATACGAATGTTTGCCTCTGTGTATATATGTACATCACATACACACAAGAAGCCTCCTTCCCTTCCCAGTGAGATGATAAACAGAATAAAAACTGGTCATTGCCAAGAGGCACCAACATCTCTCCTCGTTGTTTTGACTTTATTTCTATGGGTTGAGTCTGAATTTGTACTCTCCACATTAAATGCATACACTGCACCTCCTAGGGTCTAAACATTGAAGCACTGTTGTCAGGCAGCTTCGTTTTGGGTGCAGGGGTCTCAGAAGTGCATGCAGAACACCAGCAAATCCAGGTCTCCGGCTCCTGGGAACAACAGTCCACTCAAGCTGCTGCCAGCCATTCAAGCTGCGGCACACGTGGTGACACTGCACCATGAACTAGAGTTGGCAGACACGACAGCTTCAGTTCTTCAGGAGTTTCATAATGCAGTGGTAGCTGAAAAGATTATAAATCTTTAAATTTATTAAAACCATAAATCAAAACCATAGGGAGTCTGATTATGACCAAAGAATCAAGCAAGACTTCTAGAATGGGAAGGTTCAGTTAAAATGTAAAACAATGGATTCCCCTTGTATGGGCTGGGCTGTAATTTGCTCCTGATTGAATAAGGTATGAAGAAAGATCCACCAGATGATCAAGGTCACAGCATAAAGAACCTCGGACAATGATGCAGTAAGAAAGGTCATTGCCCGTGAAGCCTTCTTCTCCCATTCCATAATTCCAGTTTATAATGAGAAAGTAGCAAAGTAGCAAAGAGCTCCAAGTTGAGAAATATGCTATAAATATCTGACTGGGATTTATCAGAAGTATCAAGCAAAGAAGAAATTGAAAAAGCTGGCTGGTTAGAAGAGATTGATTGGACATGGAGACTAGATGTGACAGGTATGCCGCAGGGCTTTGACAGAGAAGGGCACCATGGGAAACTGAAGAAATCTGTAGCTTCTAGTTAGAAAGATTGTCCTAGTGTTAATGCTTTAGTTATTTCTTGATAATTACAATTTGATCATGTCAAAGGCTAACTTCATGAAGCTAGAGAAGGATATGAAGGAATAGCACACCATCTTTTCAACTCTTCTGTAAGTCAAAACTGTTTCAAAATAGATATTTTTTTAATCTCTGGGAAGTATAGAAAATGCATTCCAATTTGAGAACTAGAATTAAATGTTATTTAAGATCAAACAACATAAAACTCAACCCTTAGTAAACCCATTAAACAGAAAAATGAAAGAAAACAAAACAACAACAACAAAAAACTCAACTGGTTAAGTCCCAAGCACTGTCATAAATATTTAAAGCACTTACACCATCTCATTTAATTTTCACAGTAATCTTACCAGGACAGTACTTTTCCTTTTTCTATTTTATAAACGAAGAAACAGAAATCAGAGGTTAACTAGCCTCGTGCAAAGTCACACCTGTAGTAAATGGGATGTTCAGTCTGTATGTACACAGTCACACAATTGCGAGTATGCACATGTGTAGACTTACCAGGGAGAGACTGGTGAGATTGAGGCGAAGTAATATTAAATAACAGCCTGTCGTCCTAACGCTTGGGCAGGACGAGGAGGATAAGAAGTTAGCGGTCAGCCAAGGTTGAGGGCAGCATGGATACACGAGACTTAAAAAAACTCTACTCATGGGAAGACAGAACTGCAGGCTTTGTAGCTGGGAAGCCTTGACTGCTCACATTAGAGATTCCAGCTGGTGTCTCTTCTTCCTGCTGTGCATCTCTTTATGCAGCCTCAGTAATCCCTGCTGAGGAACTGCAGGCCGCTGCCCCCACTCACGTGAGTGAGGCCAGACCATAGTTAAGTAGTACTGAGAGAGAGTAACTCCAGTTCTCCAGCTAGTCAAGTTCTAGAGTTGGAGTGAACATGGAGTAAGGTTGTTTTGTTTTGTTTTGTAGTGACTGAGTTTTGTAGTCAGGTCCTTTCATCTCACTCTTCCACAGCTGTACTTTAGAAGAAGGAATGGACCTAGAAGAAAGAAATGGATACTAAGGTGCTATCCTGGGCACAGAAAGCGTTAAACATTGAAATCTTTACCAGATGAAGAATGCCACTGTTTAATTTCAGTTTCCATAGCGTTTGCCATTTGTTCCTAACCTGCATTAATCTTCTGAGGCATTGATTGGTTCTTACGCTTAAAATTTACTTTGGAACTACCTGGGAAGGTTTAAGAACTACTGATACCCCAGTCTCACTCCCAAATATTATTCTTTATTTGGTGAGATAAAGCCTAGTGTAGGGCCAGGTGGTGGTGGTGTATGCTTTTAATCTCAGCACTCGGGAGGCAAAGGCAGGTAGATCTCTGTGAGTTTAAGGCCAGCCTGGTCTACAAAGTGAGTTCCAGGACAGGCTCCAAAGCTACACAAAGAAACTCTGTCTTGAGAAAAAAAAAAAAAAAAAAAGCCTAGTGTAGTGATTTGAAAATACCTTCCAGATGTTCTAGTGCATAGCAGTGTTTAAGAGCCACTGTTGAGACTGAGGTGTGCAGAGGTAAATGCTTACCAGACTTGTACAAGGCTCCGTACAAACTTCCATCCTCATCAGTGGGATAAAACAAGACAGAACCAACACTGTTCTTAGCACTGGGGTAGATAGCTCTGAGAAAAACATTGAATAGAATTACACAGGAATTATGTGGAGAGTAAATTCTTTATTCTTAGTGATCTTCTTTTAAAAGCTTGTAAAGTTGATAATGAAGAATTTACTCCAAACAAGACCTTGTATAACTGAATACAAATGAATTTGGGTTAAATTTGGAAAATATACTATAAATATTTTTTTCCCTTAAAGGGAAACTGAGCAATCTCTAAGAATCTGTTGTTGCCTTAAATTGAAACCTGTTGGGCAGCTGTATAGCAAGAATCAAAATGTTTGATTTCTCTTTTCTAGTTTAAATGCATTTTTACACTTTGCTAACACTTTTAGGTAGTTATCATCTAACTCCCTGAAAATGATATTGCTAAGTAGCAAACATTGGAAGTCCCTAAGAATCGTCTTCTAGAAACAGTATTTTACTAATGAATTTTTCAAAGATTCTGCAGTTTGTCATTAGCAGATTTCTATCTGAAGTTTTGTTCTACTCAGCGTCCTATACCAAGTTTATCCTGCTTTTTGTTTTTAGCAGGGGAAAGGAAGTGAAATATGCTGAGGAGTGTTTAGTTTGCTGTTCAGGAAATAGTTTCTCATTTTTGAAGATGGAAATTCATATCGTGCTTGAAAACTAAAAATTCTCCTTTCTGATTTTAGACCAACAGCAGCAGAGCTATTGAGGCACAAGTTTTTCCAGAAAGCAAAGGTGGGCATTCCAGCTTTTGAGTGTATGCATTCATATGACACTAGTTGTGTTCACGGTTTGTAAGCTGCATTTCTTAAGACGGTTACATTTGGAAAAATGGTGGTAGATAAAATAATTACTGAAGGTATTTATATATGCAATCTTTGGTAAGTAAGATAACTTGTTTTGGGGAGCTGGAGTGAGATGCTTTCCATATAAGCATGAAGACCTAAATTTGATCCCCAGAACCCATAAAGAAATCGAGGTGTAGAGACTTGGCTTATAATTCCCCTGGAATTGGTAAGTGGAGACAGACGGACCATAGAACTCTTTGGCTAGTAAGACTAGGCTAATTCATGACCCCAAGTCTCAATGGGAAATCTTATCTTAACACACATATGACATACATCTGCCTATACATGAACAGTTTTGTTTTTCTTATTGTAAAAGCAATCTGAACAATTGAGCTCTCTGAACTAATAAATACCCCATATCCCAACCATAAGGCATTAGTATGTTTGGAAATGCAGGGCCAACAAAGCACATACAGTAAAGGGAGCTTTTCATAGAAAATGATTCCTAGTACACGCTAAAGGTTTGTCTCCAGTTGAAAAATGATGGAAGTGCTGTATAAAAGCCTTCAGAGTGAAAAGATAAAACCTTTTCTCTTCTCTTCACAAAACAGTTTATCACATATTAATTGTGATTGACACTTCTGTGTCAGTGTTTGGTTCAATAAAAGGTTCTGATAACTGACTTTTATTTTTTAGAATAAAGAATTTCTTCAAGAAAAAATATTACAGAGAGCACCTACCATTTCTGAAAGATCTAAAAAGGTAAATGGGGGTATCATCAGGGTTTAATTCAGTTTTCTTAGGTTGCTTAGAATAGATTTGTGGGAGTTTTTTGTTGTTTGTTTTGCATTTTTAAAGTGGATGCTATTCTGTTGATAGAAATGTGGATTATTCATTTTCAGCCATTTTAAAACATTTTATAAACCCAGTCAGCAAATACCTGTCAGCTGTACGCTTAGGTGTTACTCTGCTGTCTCCTAGAATAACAAGGTGGGCTGGATGGCAGTTCGTGGTGAGTCATTTCTAACCCCTGCTAGTGACTGTTTCCAGCTGTCTAGAGATGGGGATTTTGCATAGCACTTATAGCTTGGGGTATAAGTCATATTACCTCCTAGCTTTAGACAATGTTATAACAAAGCACTTTGCTTGGTGTGTGTTGTTTCTAAGAACTTTGGTCATAATTTGAACATAAAGAATACATTAAAGCCCAGTTTGGGCAAAATTGATGTTTGCCATTTCACCACAAAGAACCCCCCCACCCCATTTCATTACTCTTCTCCCCTTAAAGGAGACTTAGCACGTGTGAAGGGAATGTTGTCCCATGGATTTCTGTTGATGATGGACTAGAGGGAGAAGACCAGGGTCCTCTGTTCCATATGATATAGTAGAAGGCTTGTCTGGAAATTAGGGTCATTCTGGTATATGGTATAGTAGGCCTGCCTAGGAAGTTAGGACCATTCTGGTAGAAGCTTACTGTCTGTACATTTCACTGTTTCTCCCCGTCTCAACATCTCTTAGTTGCTTGTCTAGGGTTGAGGCCTTGTGGGCTTTCCCTTGATGTGTTCATGTTGTCCTTCTCCACATCTAGTAATATCTTGGTGAGATTTCATGGTTGTAACTTCTCTGACATTTCTAGAAGACACAATCTCACAGGAAATTCTCTGCTTTTTTTTTGGGGGGGGGGGGGTGGTTCTTACAGTTTTTCTGTTTCCTCTTCCGAAATGTTGCTTTAGCCTTAGGTGCAGGGGTTGTGTTGTAGATGTATCAGTTGGGACTGGGCTCTGCAGCTTACATTTGAACTGGTTTTCTGTAATGCTCTCCATCTTTGCAAAGAGAAGTTTCCTTGATGGAGATGAAAGCTACACTTATTTATGGGTGTAAGAATAAATATTTAGAATGTAGTTAGGGATTGTAGTAAAAATGACAATTATAGGTTCTCCTCCAAGACCCATGACTTCATTAGCCTTGGGTTTCTAGTACCAGGCATAGTTTCCCTCTTGCTGAGCAGACCTTAAGACCAGTTAGACAGCTGCTGTTGACCTCCATGTACCCTTTGGGTTGTCGGGCCATGCTGCTGGTGGTGGTTGTTGTGCTTCATAGGTGTTATCGCTGGATAGGACTCTGGGTGTTTTCCCTCCTTTAGAAGCTGGCTTGGCACCTTCTGTACCATGAAAACTAGTACGTGGAGGTTTTTCAGGTCAGTTCTAGCTCAGATTCTCTGGTTGGACCCTTTTCCTAACCATGTCATGAATCGAGTTTGAGGTAGAATTGAATTAAGTGGAAAATGTCTGGCTTTAGGGGCTGTGGAGATGGCTCAGTGGTCAAGAGTACTGTCTGCTCTTTCAAAAGATATAGTTTGATTCCTAGCACCCACATGATGGCTCATGACTGTCTGTAAATCCCAGTTCCAGAGGAATCCAAGACCTTCTTCTGGCCTCAGTGGGCACCAGGCATACAAGTGGTACACAGATATACATGTAGGCAAATGCTCATACACATTAAAAAAATAAAACTTGAAAAAATAGTTAGTGTTAATAAATGTACCATACCAGTACTGGAGGAAGTACACGAGACCAGAAATCATCTGATCCAGGAAGTATTCTTTGGCTCTGTTAAGGCTTCTTTAAGAAGATGGCAGAGGGGGAATCCTTACTGTTTCTGAATATAGGGAGATTACTAAGAAGACAGTGTACCTTAAGGAAAGAGTAGGACACTGATTATAGTGAAATTTTCATCTTCCATTGTGAAAAAATCCATACATTGACAACTCCTAAAATAGATTAAAAAAAAAAGAAGGGGCAAGGGACAAAAAACACCCATTAGAGATGAGTATAAATTTGCAAAGGAGGCTAATATTAGGAAGAAGATATAAAACTTGTTTTTTTGAGTCAGGACCTCACATAGCCCAGGCTTACCTCTTCGCTTACCATATTGCCAAAGGTGGCTTTGAATGCCTGGTCCACCTAAGCACTGAATATGCCCCTTACTGGTCCACAGTGCCCATTAAAGCCTCCCCAGTACCAAGCACTGACCCAGGTTCTTGCGTCCTAGAGCAGCGTCTGACTGCTGAGCTACATCCCTTGCTTAGTGTGTGAAGGTTAAGAGAGTGCTGGTTTTCCTGTCCAAACTTGCCTGGCTCCTGGCTCCTCTCGAATCTCTGCTCTGTGAATATAAGTTATAATTTTTGGATTAAAAAGTTGAAGCTGACCAGGCGATGGTCTTTAATCCCAGTACTTGCAGGCAGAGGCAGGCGGATCTCTGTGAGTTTGAGGCCAACTTGGTCTACAAAGCAAGTTCTAGGACAGCCAGGGCTGTACAGAGAAACCCATCTCGAAAATTAAAAAAAAAAAAAAAAAAATTGAAGCTGGATATGGTGGTGCACACCTTTAATCCTTACACTGAGGAGATAGGCAGGCTGATCAGTGTCAGTTCAAGGCCAGCCTGGTCTATAATGCAAGTTCCAGGCCAGCCAGAGCTACACAGTGAGACCCTGACCCAAAAGAGAAAAAAAGAAGTTGAAAAACAATGGATTTTTATTTACCTTGGGTTTGTTTATGGTCTATGTGAAACCTCCTTTCTTCTCCTTTAAATGTCTTGGGACATTACATGTTGGATTTTCCCCCTGTGCCTTAACATAAAAAATATTATTGGGGTTAAGAGTAAAAGAGCGTTGTGGTAAAGTACTAACTAGATAGAGCAGATTGAGGGGTAGAGGGTGTGAACTTGTATGGCACACTTACCAGGATAATAATGATCTAGTTACTGTTTTATTTAGGTGGAAAAAGAATTGAGGTTCCTGTTCAGTGCATACAAGACACCATAATTCTCATGCCTTCCTTTTGCTCAGGTTCGGAGAGTACCGGGCTCCAGCGGCCGTCTCCATAAGACAGAGGATGGAGGCTGGGAGTGGAGTGATGATGAATTTGATGAGGAAAGTGAGGAAGGGAGAGCAGCCATCTCACAACTCAGGGTAAGTGGTAGTGAACTGGATAGACTCTTCAGCTAGAGTAGTCTGTGAGCTGGAAGAGAAAGAAGACAAGAACTACTGACAGTTTCCTGAGTACTTCTATGTAGCAAAGTAGACGGGCATGCTCTCTGAATGCGATGATATTTAGGACATATGAAAATGACCTGTGTTTAGAGGTGGAAATTGTCTTGATATGGAGAATAACTGGATTGTACTAATGGCTAGACACTGCAGAAGAATTGTGAACTAGAAGACCTTGTAACATACAACCATGTCCTGGAAGCATGTTACCCTTTACATGGAGAGGAACAGTGGACTTCTTTAATTGGTGTATATTGGATATCTTAGGTTGCCGTGTTTGTGTGTGTGCCTTGGGGTCTTCCTTTTCCTTTGCTTCATCATTCTTACCCCAAATTATTTATGTCTATAGATAGATGCCAAGTATTTAAGGGTACTATACCCTTGCCTGCTCAGTACCCCCTTTTTTGGTGAGTTTAATAATGGTCATGTTTATATCATTACCTAGTGGGATCTACTCTCATGGGAGTTCTTAGGACTCATTTTGTTACTTTTTTTCAGATGAGATTTCTCTGTAGGTCTGGCTGTCCTGGAGCTCTCTATAAAGAGAAGGCCTTGAACGCATAGAATTTCTCCTGCCTCTGCCTCCCAAATGCTGGGGTTAAAAGTGTGCACCACCATGCCCAGTCCCCTTAGGACTCTTGATGTTCATCATTGAATTTTTACTTACCTGGTAGATTTTTAAGTCTAATTCTTTGGTATAACTAAGTTTTTTAAGGCCTTGCCAATGAAAATTGGCAAATATTTATTAAGCATCAAGCTTAGAAAAGTCCTGCAAAATGGTAGCTCTTTCCTTTCCGCTCCTTCCTTCTGTCTGTCCTCTCTCTCCCTCTCTCTCTCTCCCCCTCTTCTCTTTCTGCTCTCTCCTTCCGCCTGTCCCCCTCCCCCCTTCTCTCCCAATAAAGCTCTAAAAAGGTTAAAAAAAAGATACAATGGTAAACATTTATTTTGCTTAATTATGGATAGTTTCTGTGCTGTCCTTGAAGCTGACTGTGGTGGTGTGAATAGGCATGGTCCCCATACACTCATGTGTTTGAATGCATGGCCATAGAGAGCAACACTGTTAGGAAATGTGACACTGTGGAGGCAGCTTTGCGGTCTCATAGATGCTTCAGTCCTGCCCACTGGGACAGTTGCTTCTGCTCTCTGTGGATCAAGGTGTAGAATTCTCCGCTCCTTCTCCAGCACCATCTCTACCTGCATACCACTGTGAAGATAGTGGACTAAACCTTTAGAACTGTAATAGAAACCCTCACGGAGACATTTGCCCACCATTTCTTTCTCCGATCTGCTGTACATCCTGTGTGCAGTCTGTCTCATATCGAGCACTGCAATAATGTAGAAGTTTATTCCTTTGTTTTTCATGTCTCCACATCACTGTCTGTGTTGTTTGTTTCTTTTCTTATTTGTTAGTTTTTTTCATGTTGCTACTTAGTTTTTAAAATATAGATAGTATAGCCACAAGACACCATTTATAATGTCTCTTTGGTAACTCTGAGGTCCATGCCGGTTCTGTTTGCTTCAGTGTCTGTTCACACTGGCATTAGGAGGGCTTTCCTGCTTCATCATTAGGTGCTATACAAGGTGAATTTTACTTACTGCTTACCAATAATTTTGTGATTTTGTAGTTAGAAAAATTTAGTGAGTTTGTAAGGTGATAGGTTTCATTGTGGTGCTTTCATATGTATAAACCATTCTGTTTTGTTCTTGTCTTCCCCACTATTATCCTCCCGCATCCTCTTGGAAAAGTCTCTCTTCTGTCTTTGTGTCCCCCATTCCATTTCTCCTGATCTGCTTACTTGGCTTGGGTGCCATAGTGTGTATGTCACTTTTCTAGTTCTCTCTCCCTCTACTTCCCCTCCCCCTTTCAACCTAGATTCTTCATATAACAGAAAATGTGATTATATAATATTTGTCTGGGTCTTGCTTATTAACACCATCTGCAGTTTCATCCATTTCTTGAAAATGAAATGGTCCTGTGTCTTGGCTGTTGTAAGTATTGCAGCTTTAAACTTGGAAGCATACGTCTCTCTATGTACTCTGGCCTAAATGCCATCAGGCGTATACACAGGTGTGGTATATCTGGGATATATGGTAGGTTTAGTTTTAGTTTTATTATATTTATTTATTTTGAGAATTTTTAAAATTAATTTAAGAGTTAGTATACACAGTAGTGAGTTTCGTTATGGCATTTCTGTTTACACTTTGTCCTTCTTGTTTTGTTCACACTCTTGTCCTTCTTCCATTCCCCTTCCTTGTTTCCAGCTCGTGTCCTGCTGCTTTCCTCCCTCCTTTGTTATATCCCCTGTTCAATTTTCATGTCACATACATTTCATTATTTTCTCCCCACTCTCCCTTAAGATATCTTCAACTCTTCTGATTCTCTTTCTGACTCACTGACCATGCAAACACAAATGAAAGTTGAAATCTAGGCACCACATAGGATGCATTGGTCTTTCTAGAGGTGTCTGGTTTCACAATGGTTTCCAGTTTCACTCATTTTCCTACAAAAGCTATGCTTTTTTTCTTCATGAATAAAATTCCATTGTATACTTACCACATTTATTTTATCCAATTTTCTGTTTAGTGGACATGTAGCTGGATAACACAGCTATAAGCATGGATGTGCAAGAACATCTAAAATGGAACTTTGAAAACATGTCAAATAACTAGCTGAAAGACTTACATTTGGCCTATGATCTATCTTAGGTATATAATACGTTTGATTATGTTTATTAACATAATCATTAACAAACATTAATCATGCGTTTATGATTAATGGAAGAAATTTGACTTTTGAGTATGACCTTTGCTACCTGAGAATTCACACAGTATGGTTTGCTTATAAAACTGATTTTGTTAAGTTTTCTTTTTGTTTTGCTCTGTGTATTCTCTTTTGTTTGAGACCAGTGCTAGGTGGGTGTGGGGGGGCTGTGTCTCAACTCTGTGGCCCTGGCTGGCCTGGAACTCAGTTTGTCGACTAGGCTGGCCTCGAACTCACAGAGATCCACCTGCCTCTGCCTCCTGAGTGCTGGGATTATATGTGTTAGCCACCATGCCCGGCTGAAACTGTTAACTTACTGTAATACGGTAAGTATATTGATGTGTTCATTATGGACTACTTGAATAACAACTATATTAATATCACAGCTTTCTTTTTTTCAGAAAAGTTAGATGAGCTAATCAGAATGGAATGTAATCAGTATGATTTGCAGTGTCTTGGAATTTGCTACTTGAAAATGACTACAAATAATCTTAAGTTTTGAGCTAACAAGTGTCTTTTCCTGTGTCTTTCAGTCTCCCCGAGTGAAAGACTCACTATCAAATTCTGAGGTGAGTAACCAGATTATCAAGTCTGTAGACATTGTCAAGTAGACATTTTATTTTGTATTTTGGCTTTAATGTTAAGTTCATTCAGGCAGTCAGTCTGTCTGTCTTTGTCTCTCTCTGTACTGCTGTGTGATTGAATGTTAATGAGGTATTATACCAGCCAGATCTGAAGTTGGCTTAAAGCTCAGACCATTCCTTGCTTGCTGAACTGTTTTTTAGGCTTGAGCTGCTTAAAGTGGAAAGTAGTTGTTTTGCCTTAATCTGTCTAGGAACTTGTCATCTTGTTGTCCTTGCATTTGATTTTTTTTTAAGGAAGTAAATCCTTTTTTTTTTTTTTTGGTACTTATTTGTACCAGTGGGATAGGCAATTCCGTCAAATAGTATCCTGTAAAGTGGACTTTTCTTATTTTTACTATCTGAGAGAAGTGATTTCATGGGTCTATTCTATTGTATAGTCTTCCTCCTGGTAGCACCTTCTATTTTGAGTATGGTATGTAATTTAAAAGCATATATTTGCTCTTAATTTGTGTACATAGTATGCAGATTACATGTACTACCAAGTACATGACTCAAGTTCATATTAACTACCAACAGGCTAGTGTCTGACAGTGCATGACAACTGCTGTCTCTTCCTGTCCCTCACTCTCTATGTCTGTCTAGGACATAGATGGAATTGCTCTTCTTCCCAGGCCTGAAATTATGTCCGTCCCTGTCCATTCTTTTGGCCAGTGAGAAGTTATAAGGGGGCTGAGGTTATGGCTTCGTTGGTAGAATGCTTCCCTAGCATACCTGAAGCCTTGGGTCCCATCCCCAGTACTACACAAAACTAGCTGTGGATGCACATGCCTTTAATCCCAGCACTTGGGAGGCAGAGGCGGGTGAGTCTCTGTGAGTTCGAGGCCAGCCTGGTCTATAGAGTGAGTTCCAGGACATCTAGGACTGTTACACAGAGAAACTGTCACAAAAATAGCAAAAGACAAAACAAAACAAAACCAAAACAAACAAACAAACAAACAAACAAAATAGTTCAAGATCATTCTTGGCCACTTAATGTATCTAAAGCTAGTCTGGAATACATGAGACCCTGCCCTTCACCCCACCCTCTTAAAAAGTTAGCAGAAGGAAGGGCCACTCTGTGATTCCTTATTTTTTAACCCCTGTCACTCTGAACTGCATTCCTGTGTGACAGTAATACCATGCTTAATAATTCCTGCTGCTAAGGTAGACTTGAACTGTGTAGAAGAAGCTCCTCGAGTGTGTCCACCTACTCTAAGTTTAGAACTATTGCTTCTGATTTAACTTACATTGATTAATTTCTTAAAAATTAAATGAGAAAGTATTTTACAGATTATCCTGAGTTTTTCTTTTTGATCTTTTCAGTCTCTTTCCCTAAAAGCATCTTCATGTGAGTTCTTACATACCCACGTTCTCATGCTATTTACATTGTTTTTGATGTAATAGTGATAGAGTTAATATAACATAGAATTCACAGTTAGAGTCATTTTCAGTTTGGTCACATTGAATACATTCATTCTTCAGTGTAACCATTGCTACATCTATCCCAAGAACTTTCCATGCTAAAACTCGATCCATTGAATTTTCTCTCACCTTTAGCTCCTGACAACTTCCTTTATATTTTCTATC